ATCAACAATTTTTTTTTCCATTTATACAAAAAAATTGTTCATTTTCCATCATTTATACATTATGCATGTAAAACTCACAAAAAACCAACTCGCGATTACATCATTTATAGTAGTTATAAATGTCTTAACATAAGCCATTTACATAGCTATAACCATATTTAATTTCGTTGTATATTGCATTTTCAGGCTTGAAGTTAAAAGAGGATGCAATTTTCAACCTTACCTTGTCATACATCGAGAAATCATTATTGAGTTGTGGATTAAGTTTGAAGCAAATACCAAATATGCCGTTTCCTGATCATAGATACATTCAAGAATCATGCAATATGTTAATTCAAGATGAGCTTAACTATGATCCTGGTGTTATTGAAGTTGAGCATCAAGATTTGTATTCCAAATTAAATGTCGAGCAAAAAAATGTTTATCACACCGTTATGAATGTGGTTAACAACAACCAAGGTGGTGTCTTTTTCCTTTATGGTTACGGAGGAACCGGAAAAACATTTGTTTGGAAAAACTTGTATGCTGCTATTAGATCCAAAGGTGAAATTGTTATCAACGTTGCTTCAAGTGGAATTGCAGCACTATTGCTCCCTGGTGGTAGGACAGCGCATTCAAGATTTATTATCCCAATTAACTTGACCGAGAATTCATTTTGTTCTATCGCGCCAGACAGTGATCTTGCTGCACTACTTAACAAAGCAAGACTTATCATTTGGGATGAAGCTCCGATGATGCACCGTCATTGTTTTGAAGCATTTGATAGGACGCTTAGAGACATTATCCGTTCATCTAACAGGAATAAAGCGTTTGGCGGCAAGACCATTGTATTTGGAGGTGACTTTAGACAAATTCTTCCAGTAATACAAAGAGGTAATCGTTCGGATATTGTGCAGGCATCGTTACATTCATCAAGATTATGGAGTGAATGTACAGTGTTACGTTTAACGGTAAACATGAGGCTTCAGGTTGGTTGTCCAACTAATGATTTGGATGAGACAAAAGCATTTGCAGAATGGATTCTTAAAATTGGTGAAGGTAATATTGGTGGTCCTAATGATGGTGAAGCTGAAGTTGAATTTCCAGAAGATGTTATCATTCGCTCTACAGGTGACCATATTCATTCAATTATATCGACCATTTATCCTTCTTTTGAAAACCATCTTGATGACCCATCATATTTTCAAGATAAGGCTATTTTGGTTCCTACTAATGAAGAAGTTGATGCTATCAATGACTACATGTTAGGATTGATGAAAGACGAAGGCAAAACTTATCTGAGTTCGGATTCTTTATGTGAGACAGAGTCAGCAGATTGTTTTGAGGAATCAGTTTACTCTCCGGATGTACTGAATGCTTTTTAGGCATCTGGAATTCCCAACCATAAACTCACATTAAAAACAGGTGTTCCGGTCATGTTGCTTCGTAATATTGACCAAACCAAAGGTCTATGCAATGGTACAAGGTTACAAATAGTTAGGCTTGGAAAACATGTCATTGAGGTACGTATTATAGCTGGTAGATTCTTCAATGAGACTACTTATATACCTCGCATGAAGTTAACTCCGTCTGATAAAAGAATCCCCTTCCGTTTTCAGCGGAGACAACTTCCCGTAGCTGTTTGTTTTGCCATGACCATTAACAAGAGTCAAGGGCAGTCATTATCAACTGTTGGATTGTATTTACGTAGACCTGTCTTTACTCATGATCAGTTATATGTAGTTGTATCCCGCGTGACAAGTAAAAAAGGCTTGAAGGTACTCATATGTGATGAGGAAGGTCGTCAAACCAATAAAACAAAAAATGTTGTGTACAAGGAGGTCCTTCAACGATTATAGATAATCATACATTTCTTTTTATTTATTTAGACATATCAATATAATCAATAAAACGACGTGTCTTTCTGTTACTTTATCATACTTAAATTTATTATGTTCGTTTTTTATGATATCATGTTAAATAATCGGGGTCCTTGATTGTGTTTTCTTTATATGTTTTACACCGTTAAATAAAATGTCTTAATCTCCAATCTTCTCTAATATCTAAATATTATTAAAAGAGAACCTTAAATTCGATGCTGTTATAAATCAAGGCCATTCATTACATTTCAATCCTTAATTTCTAACCCTTGAATTATTTGCTGACATCATCGTTTTACTGGTCAGAAGTTCAATTAATGGATTTGATTTCATTATGTTAACTGTTTATTTGATTGTTAATGTTAACTTTTAACCTTAAATGTAAAATTAACTGTTAACAATGAATTTGATTTCATTATCTTAACTATTTATTTGATTGTTAATGTAAACAATGAATTTGATTTCATTATCTTAACTATTTATTTGATTGTTAATGTAAACTTTAATTGATTTTTATATGTTAACCTTTAATATAAACTTGAATTGACCATCATTCGGATTCAAAATTTAAACTTGAACTGATTTTGATTCAAAATGTGTTGATTAACTCTCCATCATTTATTCATTTAAACTTATTCAAATCTTAAGCATAAATTAACCGTGAGATTTTTCCCATAAAAAAGTATTTGATTTTAATCTTTCTCCCTCTTCAATATCATAAATGAGTTTAGGGGTATATTGGTCCATACATTAATTATCCAGTGGCAGGATTAAAATATAAATTGGAAAAATCACCTCCCTACAAAATTAAATACTATTTATTTTTATGTTTTAATGAAAAAAAGAAAATAAATATTAGACTCACTAAATTACAATGTTATTTGTTCCAAAGACTTAGAACAACCAAAAGTAACAAAATAATTTATTTTAGGATAAAACCTCCAATAGGTGGAAAATATGTCAATTTCACTATATAGGGGCAATTATGTCCAATAGGTGGAAAATATGTCAATTTTACTGTGCTGGTCAGATATGGAAAATACAACCGGAGGGGCAAATATGTCAAATTGACTATGTAAGTGTAGATACCAACTCCCAGAAAAAACCCATGAAATCTACAAAAAAAAAAAAAAAAAACTCCACTTCAAATGAAAATCGAATCAAAGAGATACCAACTCCCAGAAATAAAAAACTTTTCTTATTTTTACATTGTTGACATAAATACCCTTCAATCTGATTGACTTTCCCATAGATGTTCTTTTCCATACTACCATTAATCAATACAAAAAAATTTTAAAATAGCCTGCTAATTCATAACTTTCGAGCGTTATCTGAACCAACTTATACCATAAAGACGAAAATGCCCTTCAACCCCTTAAACTCAAACTCAAATAACTTAACTTACCACATAAACAACTGTATTATTTTTCAAAAGTTCTGAAAAATGGAGCTGAATTTTCACACCTTCGGACCCGCTTCCTGGAAACCAAAATCAAATACATCGATAATAATTTGTTTTTTATATTGAGCCAATTCACTTTCTTCAAAATAAAGCTCTCTCCAATCTTGTTTCAAATGGGGTATTGTGCCAATTCACTTTCTTATCCTGCATACCAAATTACCAACATCAGTAAGTGCTGAGTGCTAACCCAAACACAAGTACACAACAAATAAATCACAAACATTATTATAGATATATACCTCTCTATACTTGCTGTTGCTATTTGGTATGCCTTTATATGATGGAGTTGAGCTCCAATAGCTTCCAACACTACCAATAATAGGCATATCATCAGGGCTTCTACTTGGTGATTTCTTTGGTGTTGGTGTACAAGATGATGCTGAAAACTGTTTGAGCTCCTCTACTGTCAAAGCACCCAAAATCGGTCTATCTTCAATGCTCGAATTTTTTCCAGAGGAAATCGCTTCAATTCCGGAGTTATAGCTTCCGATTCCCTTGTTATTTGGCGTGTGAACCAACCAATTCGAAAGGCTGGAATCGACTGCAGGTGGGGCGGAATTCAAAGAAGAATTCTCCTTTTATCGGTGGAAGTTTAATTCCGCTCTTGATTCTGCTGATGGAACCGGAATCGACTCGCACCACACTTCTTGACAAATAATTTCGTCTTCTTCTTCATCGTCTTGATCTGAATCTTCAACTTCATCATCACTTTCAAGGCAGTTTCCATACCTGTAATTTGGTGGGTAGGATACAGCATTGACAATGTCGGAACCGTCTTGAGAACCAGAATCGGAATGGGTTTCAGCTGACTTGGGAAATTAAAATGATGTAATAGAGATAAATAAATGAAAATAGTATGAATCGACATTTTTTCTTCATAGACATGAAGATACGATGCTGATATCAGGCACAAAATTAGGGACAATATTTTTTTTTAATTTGGAAAGAAATCTCACAAAAACTATGAAAATAAGGAAACAATATATCACGAATCCGTTAATAATATCTATGAAATTAGGGACAAAAACTCATCATTTTTATTGTTTACAACATACCTCAGTAATCCCTCTCGGTTGATATTCCCAAGTATCCGATTTCACCATCTTCTTAACCCTGCACCTGTTCTTGATGTTGACTCTTTGAGTTCCTCACTGGCACCCGTTCATCCGTTCATACTACTATCCGAACCTCCGTCTTCTATTGTTGCCGTCATCTTCGCCAATTTCTTCTGTTATTCTCGACGTCTTCTTTTCTCTTCAAAATTAGATCTTCAAGATCAGGTACGTTTATTCTTTTCAATACTCTGTCTTCATCGTCTTCGATTTATACTGTCTGTATTATTGATTTTCAATCGGATTGTAACTTTTAAGTGATAAATAACAACGTTCCTAAAATATCTACGGTTCACAATGTATTAATATGAAAAACAACTTATTTTCGTTTTTAAGTTTAATTCATTAATATCATATTAAATATAAATATTTATATATGTAGTTTGTTTTAAAATTTGAATCAATGTCTTTTGAATTCTATTTTTTTTTTAAATTGACGTCTTTCAAAGTGTTATTAAACTTTGTAATTTTGCAATCTTAGATATATATATATATATATATATATATATATATATATATATATATATATATATATATATATATAATATTTGTTATTTCTCCAGATAAATGGCTCAAACCACAATTGCTAATTGTAGCAACTCTTCGTCATCGAGCATCTACTCAGAAAATGAAGATTTCCTTCATAATTTTGATTTCAAAAGTATTGCTGATCTCAAACAAGTACATCAGGTATATATAAATCACTTTCATTTACAATATATAATTTTTTAGAAATTGTTTTTCTATTATTTATCTCTTATTCCTTGATTATTATTATTTTAAACTAAAATTTAAACTTTCATTAACATTTTTTAGGAAAAAACTTTAATTGTTGTCGGTACGATTAAGCAACTATGTGTTGAAGGAGAATGGTACTGTTTTACTTGTATTAGATGTCAACAGAAAGTCGTGAGACAAATTTTAATGCATCAAGATCAGTCTCAAGATAAAGAAGTTTTTTATTGTAACATTTCAAGCTGCATAAACAAAGTCATTTCTGTTGTTCTCAGGTTTTGAAACTTATTTTATAAATATTATTATATTGTTCTGTTAAATTATATAAATTTATATTACTAAATATGTTTACATCAATGCTTTTAGTTTTAAAATCACCATTAAAGTTGAAGATATTACCGGTTTAGCGTCACTTACTTTATATGATTCTGACGTAAAGAAGCTTATAAGAAAAAACGCACAAGAGTTGGTTCATGAGTTCCATAAGGTTATACATATTAACTTCATTTACTTAAAACAAAATTATTATTTTGTATATGTATTTTTATAAACATTCTCTTTTTTTAGGTTGGTAATAATGAAATTTATCCATCTGCACTAAATATACTACTGGAAAAAAAGATGGCGTTCAAAATTCAAATTACATATGACAATTTGAATAACAAAACAGAAGGTTATGCTATCTCAAGGATCACGTCTAACAATACAATCATTGATGTATTGGAAAAAAAATTAAAATGGATCTGGTAAAATTCTTTACCCTCAATGCTACAAACAGTATACTTATTATCAATTAAAATCATATGTCATCAAATAAAAAATTTTAAGTTTTTCTAATATTATTATATTATACTTTCTTTCTTTTGCCGTTATCGTTATTGACCTCTGAACTAATTATTGAAATTCTTTCACGAACATCATTACAAACATTTGCTACCGTACGTTGTACAAATACATATTATGGAAATCTAACATACAACAACTATGTTCTTCATAACTACAACCGTAGAAATAATGTGGTTTGTGGAATTATCGTTCAACAAAAAAAACCATGGAAAAATATAGAGCGTCAGTTTCTTCCGTCTTTTGGTAGCAACAATCATGACATTGATTGGCTACCACATACTTGTACTATTTTAGCATCATCATTGTGTGGACTCCTTCTTTATGAATGCTATGATCCAGATGAATACGTTTCGAAGATTTTATTTGTTATAAAACCAACGACTTCAGATGCCAAATGGATACCGTTTCCGACCTCTGAATACACTGCAACAAACTTTGCTTTGGTAGTTATCAGTTCGAACCCGTTACATTTCAAGGTCATTCGATTGTCATACACAAAGCCATCGTAAGAGTTTATATGTAGTACATTTTATGTTATTAATTTACTTTATGATTTACTTATATGCTATTTTATTTGTAGTGATATGCTTACGGAAAAAGTGGACTATGATTACTACAACATAGAATTGTTTTCATCTACTATGTGGCAATGGAGGGAGTTTCAAAATATCCAGTTACCATCATCTGTTTATCCTGTCTCTGATGAGGCTGTTACAAGTGGCGGTGCCTTATACTTCTTATTATCTAATGATATCATACTGCGATTTGATATTTATTCAGAAGAACATATACTCATATTTTCACCTTCTACTATTAATGAATTAAAACCATATGCATCGAGACTAATCAACTTTCAGGGAAAATTAGGATATCTCTCTATAAGTGGAGATACTTCGTGGGCTATTTGGATTTTCATTCACAATCGGTGGGTTAAAGTAGATGATAGTACTTACAATGAAAGTGCACATGAATGGTGGAATTATAGAAACAATACCCTATATTTCTTTAGAGGAAATACAATTGAGTATGAGGTTCCGTCACATCATTCTCAACAAGTTTTTTCAATCCGTTCTGATTTTGATACAGTGACTATGCCAGGTCGATATTACTGATTATATATATTTTAATTTGCATTCGAACATAGTTGTTTTTATTGTAATGAACTATTTTAAGATTTTATATTATTCTATGATTTATTACTTTTTTTTTTATTTATTGTTTTAATTGTTATGAAATTAAAATAGCTATTATAATGTATGTTAATGAATTTAAAATAGCTATGGTAAACTACTTTTAATTGTCATGCTTCCTATGATGTAATATAAGTTTACAATTCAATGTTTTTGAATATGTTCCCGCGTTTAACGCGGGTTTTAATCTAGTTATAAAAGCATAAACGAAATCGGTCTTTTCTGGCCGTGAAAATGAGGATGTCACAGTTGGTATCAGAGCATTAGTTTAAGCGAACTAGAAATTTGTAGGATTTCTAGACTTAAACTTAGAATGCTAAGTGATGATCGTGAAATGATTGTCTACCATATTTTAGAAAAGATGCCTAAAATGCTTTTATGTGCTAAATGTTATATGTTTGCCATATATGCTATAATTTGTGCGGATTTATGGTCTGTTACCGACCGGATCTGGAAAGCTTATGTGTTCAGGATTCTAAGTGTATGACTACGATATTAGAACTAGCATGTAACATTTCGGAGTGATAAGGAGGATTTAAGTGTCTATCCTGAATAAAGATCTAAATTCGCCTAATTTGGTGTATAGATCAAAATGGCAAGAACCTGAAGTGGAGCTGGAAATGTAAATAGGAATCAACAACCTCAACCCCAAGTGATGGAGCAAGTGCCAATAGTAGAAGTCGCACCAGAACCAATCACAATGGTTGGATTACAAGTCATGATTCAGGCAATGATGGTCGAAAAAAAGGAAGAAATGAGACAACTATTGTTGAACAACAGAAGCGAACCTTCAATGCCTTTTGAACAACTTGAACTAAATGACAGTCAGTCGGAGGAAGGAAATTACAGCCACACTGTCAGTCAAGCAGAACCCATAATGGCAGAAACGAATAACGCGTAGAGGGAAATCAGCAGAGATGGGTGTATGTATAAGAATTTCTTGGGCGCCAAACCACCAAGTCTTTCCGGAAGTCCAAAGCCTGTAAATATTATGGACTGGATCTCTGAAATGGAGATGGTATTTGAAAGCTGCAATTGTAGCGACAATCAGAAAATCGTTTTGCGGTCAGACAACTGAAGACTAGAGTTTTAAGCTGGTGGAAGCTATTGGCAAACACGATGCCACATGGAGATGCTCTAAAAATGTCATGGGAAGCGTTCTTAGAGCAGTTAAAAATACAGTACTGCTTTGAAATAGATCTGATAGATCTAAACAATGAATTTCAGAACATGAAGAAAGGGAAAACGAGCATTGATGACTATGCTACTGCTTTTACCGAAAAGATGAAGTTATTCCTTTATCTAGTGTCGACTGAACTCGCTAACATTGAAAATTTTGCTAACGGATTGCCATTGGATTGTGGCCCAACAGTCAAAATGGAAAACACATTGAAGGCAGCCGTTAGAGCAACCAAGAATGTTGAGACTCAGTTAAAAAAAGGGGTCAGGAGAGGGCAAAGGTTGGTAAGAAAAGGAAGTTCGATGGATCTTCGACACCCAACAAGAAAAGTAAATTCTAGAAGTCTGATTCGAGAGGAAGAGGAGGTGAAGCAAAATGGTGTGACAAGTGTAAGAAGAAACATGTTGGGAAATGTGGTGAGGAGATCACTTTTTTTAAAATGTGGAAAGTCTGGGCAATATGCCAATGAATGCACCTTCAATAAGAATGTTTGTTATGGATGCAAAGATGAGGGGCACATTTTGAGAGACTGTCCGAAGAAGAAAGAGACAACAAGGCCCAATCTCCCACCAAAGCCGAAGGCGAGAGCTTTCCAGATGACGTTGGAAGTCGCAAAGAATGCAATGGATGTCACTTCAGGTACCTTTCTTGTAAACGGATTGTCTGCCAATTTATTGTTTGATTCCGAAGCGAATTACTCCTTTATATCACATTAATTTAGTGGAAGACTAGCATTGCCTATAGAAAAACTTGATGATGCCCTAATTGTAGAAGTTGCTAGCGGTAAATTCATAACTGTTAATGATTGCCCTAAGAATATTGTCATCGACTTGAATGGAAACAAATTCCATGAGGAGCTGTTACCCATTGAGTTGAATGGTTTCGACATCATACTGGGGATGGATTGACCTAGCGCCAATGATGTCGAGATACTGTGTAAGAAAAAAATACTGAGGATAAACCCACATGGAAAATGGTCATTTATGGTGTACGGAGACAAGCGCAGAGTAAATTCTGGAATCATTTCCCTAATGAAAGCCATAAAATGTTTATCTAAAAGATGCACCTCATACTGGGCATTCGTGATCGATGCTAAGAAGGAGAAAAAGGAGATGCAAAGTATACCAATGGTGTGTGACTATCCATAAGTTTTTCCAAAAAATCTTCCTGGATTGCCCCTGATAGACAATTGGAGTTTCGAATACACTTGTTACCGGGAACAACACCAATAGCAAAAGAACCATATCGATTAGCACCAACGGAGATGAATGAGCTTATGACGCAACTTCAGGAGTTGTTGGATAACAATTTCATTAGACCTAGTTCATCACCCTGTGGAGCTCCGGTGTTATTTGTAAAGAAGAAGGATGGAAGCATGAGAATGTTCATAGAATACAAAGAGCTGAACAAGGCAACAATAAAGAACAAGTACCCATTGCTAAGGATTGATTACTTGTTCGATCAGCTGTAAGGTTAGATCTATTTCTCCAAGATCGATCTTAGGTCAGGTTATCATCAACTAAAGGTGAGAGAGCAGAGTATTGAGAAGAATGCATTCAGAACAATATATGGATACTACGAGTTATTGGTTATGTCGTTTGGACTAACCAATGCTCCAACAACATTCATGGATTTGATGAACAGGGTTGGTAAACTATTCCTCGATAAATCCATGATAGTGTTCATAGATGACATTTTGATTTATTCAAAAAACATGCAGGAGCATGGCAAGCATCTACAAGAAGTGTTAGAAGTTCTGAAGAAGGAGAAGTTGTATGCAAAGTTCTCCAAATGTGATTTTTGGATTCAAGAAGTCCAATTTTTGGGTCATGTGGTTAACCAAGAAGGGATCATGGTTGACCCAGCTAAGATTGAAGCTATAATAAAGTAGGAACAACCAAAGAGTCCCACAGAGATCCGAAACTTTTTAGGATTAGTCGGATATTACTGAAGATTTATCTAAGGCTTTTCTTTGATAGATGCTCCATTGACAACTTTGACCCACAAATGGGCTACTTATACTTGGAGTGAGAAGCATGAGGAAGCATTCGAGAAACTAAAGAAGAAGTTGTGTGAAACACCGATTCTTTCTTTACCTGATGGAGTTGGAAACTTTGCAGTTTATAGCGATGCATCTAGAGTCGGGTTAGGTTGTGTTCTGACCCAAAGGGATAAGGTGATAGCATATGCATCGAGACAATTAAAAGAACTTGAAAATAACTACCCCACTCATGATTTGGAGTTGGCAGCGGTAGTATTCGCCCTAAAGATATGGAGGCATTATCTCTATGGCATGAAGTGCAAACTTTTCACTGACCATAAGAGTCTCTAGTATCTCTTTAATCAGAAGGAATTGAACATGAGTCAATGATGTTGGCTAGAGTTGCTTAAGGATTACGACTGTGAAATAATTTATCGCACTGGTAAAGAAAATGTTGTACCTGATGCTTTAAGCAGAAAAATGAGCCTTGAAAAGAAAAGGTCAAAAGCATTAAGAATCAAAATTGTCTCAAAGATTGTATAAAGCATCAAGAAATCTCAGGAAGAAGCTTCAAAGAAAAATGACCGAAAGGAAGAACGTTTGGGAAAAACGTTAGTGTTCTGTATAAATGGTCAAGTACTAAAGGTATTCCAAGATAGGATTTGGGTACCTAAGATGGGAGGAATAAGGGATCTTCTAATGGAAGAAGCTCACAAGACCATGTACTCGATTCATCCTGAAACACAAAAATATATAGGGATCTGAAACCCTACTACTGGTGGCCGACGATGAAGCTCGATGTTGAAAAGTATGTGACCAAGTGTGTAACATGTGTATGGGTTAAGGCACAACATCAGAAACCGTATGGGAGTTTAGAACCTTTACTTGTACCCATGGGTAAATGGGAAAGACATCACCATGGGTTTTGTGACTAAACTACCCAAAACAAAGAGCGTTCACGACATGATTTGGGTGGTCATTGATCGGTTTACTAAAAGTGCACACTTCATAGCAGCCAATGAAAAATGGTCCATGGATAAACTTGCAAATGCTTACGTGAAGGAGATAGTAAGACTTCACAGTGTTCCTTTAACGATTATATCAAATCGTGATAGTCGTTTCACGTCAAGGTTTTGGAGAAGTCTACAAGAGGAATTAGGTACGGAGTTGTGTTTATGTATAGCTTACCATCGGCAAACCGATGGTCAAAGCGAACGAACGATTCAAACATTGGAGGATATGCTAAGAAAATGTACCCTGGAATTTCAAGGTAATTGGGATGAATATTTACCTCTGGTAGAATTTTCCTACAATAATAGTTTTCACTCGAGCATCAAGATGGCACCTTATCAAGCTTTGTATGAACAAGAAGTTTCGAACGCCATCATGTTGGCTTGAAGTTGGAGAAAAGCAGTTTATGGGACCCGAGATAATCCATCAGACTGCTGAAAAGCTGAAAGTGATTAGGGAAAGGATGTTAGCAGCCCAGGATCGTCAAAAGAGTTATGCTGACAAGAAAGACAACCGATGAAATTCAAAGTTGGAGATTCAGTTTTACTTAAAGTATCGCCATGGAAGGTACTTATAAGATTTGGTAAAAGGGGAAAGTTGATTCCAAGGTTTATCGGACCGTTTAAAGTTCTTCAAAGGATCGGGAACCAATCTTGCAAGCTATAACTACCAGAAGAACTAGATGATATTCATAACACTTTCCACGTGTGTTATTTGAGGAAATTCACAGGAGAAGTTCCCGACATAATT